TGAGGGATGACTGTGATGACAGCGGCTATATGTGCGGGCGGGGCCGTGCGCGTGTCATCACACGTCATCTGCCGTAAAGGCGTGAATAAAGGTTTCTTCAGCCAGGACATGCGAGGGCGTGATATCCCATACTTATGTGTTGTACCGAGTGAATCGACTGAAGGGGAACTGCTTGTTATAACCAAAGTATGCAGAAGAGGTTTTGTTAAATGCACAGCATATAGAACCTTTAGGTAGATGGATTACAGCAGCAGAAGACCACACTGTGTGCCAGTCCTGTAAGTTAAGAACAGTAAACTAGGCTGCAATTTGCACAGGCCCACCAAATTTGGACAATAGAGAACTGGAAAAACATTGCTTGGTCTCATGAGTCTCAGCTTCTGCTGTCACATTAAGATGGTAGAGTTAGAATTTGGTGTAAACAACATGAAAGCATGGAGTCAGCCTGCCTTGTATCTACAGTCCAGGCTGGTGGTGGTGTAATGATATGGAGGTATATTTTCTTGGCACACGTTGGGCCCCTTGGTACGAACTGAGCATCATTTAAACACCACCGCCTACCAGAGTATTGTTGCTGACCAGCTCTTTAAGATCACAGTGTACTTATATTCTGGTGGCTGCTTCCAGCATGATAATGTGCCATGTTACAAACTGACTGCGAAACTGAGAGTATGGTATTGACACGGCCTGATTAATAGCAGAGCAGATTTGTGAGAGCATTGGATTGATTTCTAGATTCTGCTGGAGGTAAAAGTGGAAAATATGTTGTTTTGAGTTTACTGACCTTGTGACCCATGAATAATATACCTTTTCTAGTAGCAAGGTGTATGTTGGTTTTAAAGAAAACATCAGTATTCAGCTTTGAAGAATTTTGATTTATTCCTGTCTATAAAGAAAATGACCACAAAGCATCCAAAGGATTTGGAAGTCAGGTACCATGTGTGAAAGGGACTTTGTTAAACTTGGACATTAAGCTTGTAGAGCTGCTCAACATTTAACACATTTCTTGTGATCTCATTGTTTGCTCTAAAAAAGTTTTTTTTTATATAAATATATATATTATATATATATAGGTGTATGTATGTATGTGTATGTATATATCTATGTGTGTGTATATATATGTCATTTTTATATCAGCCTACTGCATCTAGTAGCTTTAATCCAACGTCCATTCACACTTTGCTCTGTAGCACATCCAGTTCTGTGAAATGGCTTTTATATCATGACTTAGAGGCAGGTTTTCTATTACTTTTTTCCCTGTAACAAGTTCAATTTGACTGAATAATGGGAACATTCTTGCTGCCGCAACATTTCGGCACCAGTCTGCGTTTCACTCGAGCTTTCAGGAAGAATGGCCTTTGCTGAAAGACTGTAGTGCTGCACGAAGAGCTAAAGCCATCTCATCTCAGTCAGATCTTAATGCATTCAGAACTGCAGCTTTTCATCAGTGTTATGGAGGAAATTATAGGCAGACTGCTACAGCCCATTTCTTCTTGCGAAGCCTTACCTTAAGACTGTAAGATGCTCAGTGAAAACATACCCACACATACATAAACAGGAATGATGGTTATGAAGTCTTGATGATAGGCTGTCACACTGCGGAGCGAACATGTGGGCTAACATTTATTTTTCTGTCTGTCTTTTTTTCCCCTCCCACTCTTTGGCTCCTCGTTCTCTCTTCTTGCTTTTATTTGTCCTTCTTTCTCTCTCTCTCTGTTTCTGTGGGTCTGCCTTTTTAGTCCACTCCGCTGCACCTGGCAGCAGGATACAACAGGGTGAGGATAGTTCAGTTGTTACTACAGCATGGAGCAGATGTTCACGCCAAGGACAAAGGGTATGTACAGAGAAAACGACAAGGGGAGTGTAAGTGGGGGGGAAAAGGCACTTGAATTCAGGATTTTCTTAAAAACTAAACATCTTAATGGTAACACATCATAACTGCACTGCTATTTATGAGACATAATTATGAGATTTTGCTATAGCCAGTAGGATGAGACTCCTTAATCCATCTCATTGGATCATAAGATTTAGGTGGGGATATATACACATTCTGTTGTTGGCGTGCACAGAGTATGATGCACTGCATTCTGCAGAAGCCCTTGAAGCTCTTTTCTGCAGTTTCTGTCACATTTCAGGCCTGCTTATAGACCAAAATGACTGGGCGTGCATAAAAAGTTAGTGAGGGTGGTCTCTGCTTATGCAGCCACACAAAAAACCTGGAAACCATTCGAATAGCTGTCAAACCACGACTTTATTGATGTAAACTGAGATGTCAAAACTTGTCACTAGGGGTGCGGGGGAGGTTGTCAAATGTCATTTACGTTTTTTCCCCTTATAGACTCCAATCCTGAAGGTACTTAGATCTCTCCTGATCGAGGTGGACACGAGAATGCACATGTGCAGTAGAGCTGGACTGGACTTTAAATGGTCCTCAGTTCAAACAGTCTAAGCAAAGTAGATGAATGAGTGTCATTGCCTGCTGCACTTTCCACAAAACCAAACTTATTATCCAGTAGCAAGAGCACGTCTGCTACCGTGGGCTCTGTGTGAGCAAGCTGTGAGACACCCTCAACCTTTTATGTAGTGCCGCTATGATGTTGACATCTGAGGCACTCGATGTGTAACACTGATTAGCAGGATGTCACCGTGCCAATGTGACCAAGATATCAAATGTGGTAAATGGTATTTTTACTGAACATCAGCATGTTAGTGTAAGTGTCACATTGTTGGACTCAGCACACATTTTGTGTGTATTTAGAATTGTTAACACTGATGTTTGTTTGTAATGAGAAGTCTTCTGGGTTTTTGGGTTTTTTTTCCAGGGGTCTGGTGCCGCTTCATAACGCCTGCTCTTATGGACACTATGAAGTTACTGAGCTGCTGTTAAAGGTACAAACACACATACATCCTGTTTCTGAATATACTGGGTCGGTGGACATAATTCATAATAAGAAGCTATAAATGACCTCCTAAGACCTGCTTTGTTAGTTCATTAAAAACGTGACACATTCATTGTACACATGCACCAGAGCCGATGGCATCATTCCCTTTTGAGCAATCCAGAATCAATAATGATAAAACTGCTGTCAGTAATCTCCTCTGTACTTTTTTTTTTTTCTTCCGCTATTTTTTTCCTTCGCCAGCACGGAGCCTGTGTGAACGCCATGGATCTGTGGCAGTTCACCCCTCTACATGAAGCGGCGTCTAAAAACCGAGTGGAGGTGTGCTCTCTGCTGCTGAGCCACGGGGCTGACCCGACCCTGCTCAACTGCCACAGCAAAAGCTCTGTGGACATGGCACCCACTCCCGAGCTGAAGGAGAGACTTACATGTGAGTGTGGCTCTTAATTTACATAAAGTGCAGCTGCAGAGTACAGCACGGCTAAATGAGTCTGTTTGTTTTAGAAAGGGCATATTTACACGGGCTATGTTTGGAACAGCTGATTTGAAATTATTTTGAACATGGGAGTCTCAATCTTTTTTTTCTTTTCTTTTTTTTTGACAGGGGATTACAAAGGGATTATTAGTACAACAGAGAGATTGATATGATTATTTTGATAGCCAGCAGTCTGATGTTGAATTATTTCTTGAAAGAGCCTCATATTCACCTGTTTCTTCATGTGGACTTGACTAGTGGAAAAGCCACAGATTAAAAAAACATGAAAGTCAGCTAGGGATGGCAATTGGACTCGATTCCCATCCCTAAAGTCATCCACGGTTCGAATTATTACAGATTTCCTCGGCTATATAAAACATTTTATTGTCTGTATTCATGTTTTCAGGGTGCATTAATCCAATCCCTGACTTTAAAATTTATTTTTCATTATAAAAAAAATGCCTTGAACCTGGACTACACAATTTGTGTTTTAACATGAACTCTTTACTTTAAATTTCCACAAACAAGCTTACTGATTTTAAATTAGTTTCTTTTTTTAATTTTGGTTTATTCACTATATTATAATATGTAAATAATCTGCTTATATACGCGTGTTCTTTATGAAATTAGCTGTTTTCTTTGTAATATTAGTTCGGTTCGCATTACACTGCAACTAATATTTGACTAGAGATCCGTGATGTATTAATTAATTAGAGACTACACCATAATTAAGTTAATTTTCATCGTACTTTCAGGACGCAGCCACCACAGAGTAAAAAGGTTGGATAATCCTTTGTTTTTGCCAGAAAGCCCTCTGCAACTCGAGTTAATTAGTGGGTCAGCTCTCTTTTTCTTTCGCTGCACTTGTTGCCTCATCTCTGTAATGAAGCAGATCAAAACAAAAATCAAATGCCACACGAATCATAAGCCATCAGAAATGTTTTCACAACTGCGGGATGACGGTTCGTTTTTGATGATTCTATGTTGTCGAAAACGCATCTCAGTTGTGCGTTTGCTGCAGACTCATCACAGGAATATAAAAATATAAAAACAAAGACTTCCTGGACAGATCTGATGTTGCCAGCTCCAGATATATTTTTTAAGCCAGTTGGTTAGTAGCTTACAAAGTACAGTTGATATGAAGGGGAAAACTTACTATAAAAACATTAATGTGCTCAAGTTGGGCAAATCTACTTGGATCGCCTTGCTTTTGAAGCTACTTTAAAGTGAACCAATCCAGGAACTTCAGTTTATGGCACTTAAGTGTTCAACTTACTATCTGCTAAGCTTCCCATAAGTTACGGAGCTTCCCAGTTATACTTATAGCTTTTGTTTTAATTTAAGTTGACAAATAATGTGTGTTACGCTTTATTTGGTACTAATTATTGATATTTGTATGCCTGCACCTTGCCTCAGGGTCCAGAAAACAGCAGAAAAGGAAAATAAAACAGGATGGCAACAAACACACTGCTAAAAATGGTTTCAAAATGAGACAAAGCAGTGGCTCTGTCCATCTTTTCTTAGCAGTTTATAGATATGGTTACATATACAAAGAGCAAACGTGTAGTTCATCTCGTGTTTTTCTTCTTTCTCTGAATAAATTATTTCTGTGTATTTCTGACCAGCAACTGAAAAATTCGTTTGGGTTTTTCAGAACAAAAATGTCATAACTCGCTACTGCTTCTCTTCCATCAGCTGTACTTTACGTCTTTAATTTTTTTTCTTTCTTAACCACGTGCCCTTGAAGATTGCGCCATTTATCTCAACGTCTGATTAGAAATGCATGAATGCTGTTGGCTCGGTCCGTAGATAGGACGGGCTCCTTTTATTCAGCCTGAAATGCTTCTGAAGCAAAATAGTTTGTTGTTTGTAATTTCCAGACCTCGGGGGAATAATCGCTTCTTTCTGCTCCAACTCCACCACAGAGACTGTTGCATCATATGTCATTAGCTCTCTGGTTGGGGAAAAAAATGAAATTATCTTTCTGAAGTATTGTTATGCTGCAGGGTCATTGCAAGTAGAATAATATATTGTAACAGTGGCTGAGAACTTCATAATTCAGTTTTTGGGTGGCAAGCTACATCATTTGCAGCCTTTTGTTTCGTAGGAAACCTCACAATGACAACTGAAGCTGCTTTCTTTCTAAAAAATTTGACATTTTCTGTGCGCGTGTCTTCAGATGAGTTTAAGGGCCACTCGCTGCTTCAAGCTGCTCGAGAAGCTGACATGGCCAAGGCTAAGAAGACCCTGGCATTGGAGATCATCAACTTTAAACACCCACACACACACGAAACTGCCCTGGTAAGATTTGGATGCATTTTAAAACACTGGCTCTTATATTGGTGCAGACGTGTTGAGATGACGTGTCCATGTGTGCTTTATGTGCGTTTGTTAGCATTGTGCAGTAGCGTCGCCTCACCCCAAAAGGAAGCAGGTGACCGAGCTGCTGCTGAGGAAAGGTGCCAATGTCAACGAGAAGAATAAAGAGTGAGTGTTGTTTTCCGCTGCATGCACAGCTCATAAACATAAAGTGAGAGCATTATATGTTTGTCAAGGTGACTCCAGCAGTGGATTTATGTTAGAGGTGAACAACACAAATCACTTTGCTGATGTGAATTGCCATTGCAAGGCAAAGTGGTTGCATCACTGCTCAGAGACACTTCAGGAGGTGAACGCACCGTTGTTCACACGACCTGACAATCAGCGGCGACAGAAATCGTCCGCTCTTCAGACGCTCAGTCTGCTGCCAGCCTCGGGCTTCAGCTCAGTACAAAACTATCCTGAATAATTCCAGCATTTAAAGCATAAAATGTGACCTATTATGTTTATTTCCAGCTCCATATTTTCATTTTTGGACTTTTCTAAGATGGCTTAGGTGGCTTTCCTGATTCATAGATCTCAATAATCCTTTTGATTATGATACGTTTTCTGTTCAAAATAGACTGGCTCCTGATTAAGTGTGATTGACTGACCATGTTTAGTAGCAGTGACCACTTGTAACAGTATATTTGCATGACAGAAACCAGGAAGAGTACAGGAATCCACTTTAATAGCTTTCTAAGTGAGGTATAAGAATAAAGTACTGCTAAGCTGAAGTGATGTACTTAGTGACAAATGAGAACTGATTTGGTCAGTGGGCTTGGTGATTCACTGCTTTCTCTTTGGAAATTTCTTAGAAATGGGCCTCTTCACATGTTGGGCTCTCCAGTCCAGCTGCCCTTACAGCAGTGGGACTGAAGCTATTACATTTACAATGATAGCGGGCCATGCAACAAATGATGTCATACGAATGTGTCATATATATATAAATACATACATATAGATACCTTATAGTGAAATTAGAATAAACGCATTGCTGAATAGGTGATTCTGTAAATTTCTGTTATGTTTTTTAACCCAGAAAAAATGCAGTACTGTAGTACATGGAGTGCAAAAACAGTGCTGACTTCATCTCAGGGTTGATGACTCGTGATAATATCCAACCTCATTCTGAGAACGTTTGGGCACTGCATTCTGTTTTACAAGCAATCTGAACGATCTAAAGTTGAGCAGTTATATTTATTTCCTAATGCTCTTCCCTCCCCTCTGTAGTTTCATGACTCCTCTTCACGTGGCAGCTGAGCGGGCGCATAATGACATCATGGAGGTGCTACAGAAACATGGGGCAAAGGTATGTCTTACTCCTCTTCCTCCATGTATAGAGAGTGTATCAAAAAGAATCATCCAATTTCAAAGTGCTTTAATTTCGTGGTTGTTCACCGGTAATGTTAGAGAGGATCGGTGAGTTTCTAATGTTTGGTGGCTGAAAATGCTGTTTTTCACACTAATCATCACAAAAAAAAATTCTAAAAAGAAGCATTGTACTGTGTTACTGCCCAAAGTTTTGGGTAAATGTTTCTGCAAACTGAACAATCTGGTGTGAGACCCTCAAAACAATGGTATTTTTCTAAAGATGGCATTTTTATTCAGCAGTCATACATTGTGAATTCAGTTTGGAGAAAGAACTGGATTTTAAGCAGCACTTGTGGTTGCGTCACTGTGAGAATGCTCTACAATCAAGGCGCTCAATGGTATATTTGTGTGCATCAGTGTGATGATGCACCTTGATTTGCTGTATTGCTCAAAAACATTTTTATCTATGAATAGTTTCTCATTTTCATACAACTGACTCTGTTGCAATGCACTGAATAATATTGCACCCTTTATTATTTCACCCTGAATCCCACAAATAAGATCCAAGGTTGTTGTGGCATGTTTTGTTATTCAGTTGTGCTGAGGCTTGTCACATAATTGTGTCAACATTATTATATTTGTTTACATATTTCAATAATTAAACCAAAAAAAGTCTTGTTTTTGTATATTTTCCCGGACCTTTTGTGAGATGAGGTTAACGTACAGTTGTTTATTAGTGTCTCATTTGGAAACGAGCTGACCTTATTTGGAACATTATTATTAGTAAGCACTTCATCAGTAATAGGAGAGTCATAAAATTACAGATTCAGATATTTTTTTGAATGACTGTAACTGCAGACGTCCTTTCTGAATCATTATTCTGAGGTCTTTGTTCTTGCAGGTGAATGCCCTGGACACACTGGGTCAGACGGCATTGCATCGTGCGGCGTTGGCAGGCCACCTTCAGACCTGTAGGCTGTTGCTAGGATACGGGGCAGACGCCTCGCTGGTGTCGCTGCAGGGCTTCACCGCTGCTCAAATGGGAAACGAAGCTGTTCAGCAAATACTCAACGGTAGGCCACCCGTTTGTTTCTGTGGGAGCTGCTGAGTGGGTGGGTGGCTGTGCGTGTAGAAGCGTAGGTGATGTGTTTTGGTTGCTATGCACCAGTTGCAAATAGTGGGATTAACTGGAATTGTTTTTGTGAAGGCCAATATTGATATTTTCAGACTGAAGGCGCAGATTTTAACGCAGAGTGAGCCAACTCACCTGCTCAGATCTGGAAGAAACTTGGCATCACGGTATCTAACTCCAGGGTTTCCAGGTTAAAGGAAATCAGTTTTTAATGGGGGCCTAACCCTTGAAGCTCTTTTCTGAACTCAGTGGTTTCATTCATATTTCAGGCTTGCTTATAGAACAAAATGACTGCATCAGGATTTAGTGAGGATGGGCTCTGCTTGTGCAGCTACATTTGGGAAAACTGAAAAATATTCCAATATTTGTCAAAGCACATCTTTATTGATGTATTCTGAACTACCAAAGCTCATCTTTATGGATACAGAAGAAGGTGTCAGATGTCGTCTTCATCGGGGAAAGAATTAAAGCCCACAAATAAAACTAGACCAAACCACTTATTGGTCTGTACAGCTCCACATTCTTTATATTAAGCTGGACACGAAATCCATCAGTTATTACATAAGTACTCGAGTCCCCTTAAAGCAGGAATTTTCCACAGGCACTAAGAACCTTTGTAAAGACCCGGTTTGGGGTGAATTAGCCTACCTGAAAGTGGGGCTTGCACTGCTGAACGTCTCTGATTCGTTACCAAATCTTTAGAAAATTTTCTGCTCTACTTATTTTCCGTAAAATATACTACGGTCCAAAGTCTGGACATATTATGATTGCTTTGAAATGTGTATCAAAAAGACCTGTCCACATACCTTCAGGCCTTTTCTCGCATATTGGAATATGAGGCAGTATTTTAACATAAGTAAGTCAAATTACGATAAAAGCCTGAAATTTTCACTGGACTTTTCCGTCATAAATTTGAATCAATATCTGTAATTTCAGGCTGATACATTAAAAAAAAAAAAAAGTCTGCATATTGGCTAGCTAACATATTTAGTATATTTTCCAGTTTTTTTTAGTTTTAAGTAATAATAATAATTAATAAATGTCTGGAAATTTTTTTGATATATGAAGCTAAAGTTTCCCAGCAATAATTTTATACCTCCACATTTTGGACCATAAGTGAAAGAAGAACACCTGCAGTGATTTAAGATGGAATAATGGAATAATAATCTTACAGTCATCTCTGCAGCAGATAAAAAGCAAAAATTGTCAATTCTAATCTGTAATTGTAACATTCAAACTTGGCTTCACAGGCCTGTTTCAATTACAGGTCGAGCTTACACATTTTAAATGAAACGAAAGCAAGGACAAAGCAAAAAAAGCAGAAATTCGAAGAATGTAAAGCTTCTGATTTCACCGAGTGGAGGAAATTGGGACAAAAAATGGTCTAAAGCTTTTCTTTAAACTGACAATGACTGCACGACCAATGAAGATTCACAGCACACGGTTATCTCATAGAAAATATTGTGTGTTTAGTTGCTTCTGAGGCAACTCTGGAAATCTAGATTTATGTTGTATCTCATCCTCTAGCCCTATGCATAACTACTGATTTGTCTTTTAAATGACAGCGAGTGAATTGAATACGGCATCTGTAGCTGCATTAATTGTAGCAGCTGTGTCACCACAGTCGGTTTATCTGCAGCAACCAGTAGACACACACTCTCATAAAGGCCTAATATGTTACTTTTGTTTCCTGTTGGTTTGCACTGCATTGCAATTATCAAAGAACAAGCAAAACAACAAAAATAAGTCTTACAAATGTCACCTGGAAGCTTTTCGAAACGGCTGTCCTAAAGTGCACAATGTCTTCCATTAAACATGGCCGTAAATTGACGTGCGTACGTAGGATGAAGTGAATAACGGCAGGATAACGCCAGCTTTATGTTGTTGTGTTACAGTCAGCCTTTCATTAATGTTCTTCCAAAGCATGTGAAGGCTGTTTTTGCTGTCTTCATGATTCTTCTGTGTTTGCTGCTGTAGAGAACGTCCCAGTGAGAAACTCGGATGTAGACTACAGACTTCTCGAAGCTGCTAAAGCCGGTGACCTGGACACTGTCAAGGTAGATGACACTTTGAAAATGACAATTTGACATTGTTGCCTGTGGGGTGTTATGCTGCAATCACAGGAAAATGCTGGAGACTGTAGCATGACCAAAGTTATTGTGACTGCAATCGTGTTTGAGATGGTTGCTTCGAAGATGAGGACCAGGACTGTGACCGTTTGCAGTCGGCTGCCATCTTCCAAACAACATCAGTACATCAGAATTGTGAAAAAATGGATGTGGAGTCAGTCTGCCATCAGTCTGGGATTAAATGGGGTCAAGTTGGCACTCTGTAATAATATGGTGATTAAGTGATAAATAACAGATCTGTTGCCGTCTACCTATTCATACATTCACAGTCTGAGCACCTAGAAACTCTCCACAAATACTGACATAGTTGCTGCAGGGTGGCAATTTGACTGTCAAATGACATAGGTACGCTGCAGCTTTGCTTTTATATAGCAGTATAGCCTCTGGTCAGTGTAAATATGGGAAATGCAAGGATCAATCAACCTACTTGTCCACCTATCTTCATACTGTGCCTACCTACCTTTTTTACTTTAGTTTGACTGAGTGATTACATTTACTTTAGCCATTGTGATCATTTGGGTGAAGGTCATCATGATAAGCTGCATGCCAGTAACACTGGATACTATATATTACATCTGTGTTTGATAAAGTAATAAATCCTTAAAATATTTCTGTCCAAATGAATTCCAAACCCAATGGTCTAGCTCATTTTTTAAGGCTTAAATGAAGAAAAGCCAGTGACCCGTTCTTCTCCTAACAATCAATACTGCCTTAATAAGAAAAATGGAAATAGCTGATATGGAAGGACATTGATTTAGCAGCTTCAGTGTGTTTAATGACACTGATCATGGAGGGATTATTTGCTCTGAGGGAGCAGAAATATTTTTAATTGCTCCATTATGGTTTGGCGCTAATGAGGAGTCTGAGAAAAGCCATGTGAAACTGGACTAGCTGCTTTTGGCCAAAAGCAGTAGGTTCTGCGGCCACAGTGTGGTCGGTAATGAAAACTGAAGACAAGTTAGATCGGTTGTCCTTAAGTTAGTATATTTCATTAGAATGGAGCAAGAATGGAGGCCTTTATCAATAAACTGTAAGGGGAGATGCAGAAGAGAAACTGTTGAGCTAATGTTGCATCTCTGTGGGAGAATTTGATGTCCACAAACACAGGTTTTAATTAAAAAACTCCTGACCTTTGTGACTGTTCCTGTTGGTCTCACTGAGTCAAAGTCTTAGTGATTTCTGTTAAATGTCAGTTGGATGTTTTCTGTATTTGTATTTGCTTTATTCCCCTTATTGATGATGATTGTTATGAATAAAGAAATAAAGACAAAGACTTTATCCCTAATAAAGGCCACATTTTACATCTCATAAGATTTCCACAGAGACCCTCTGCTGCAATTGGTATCTGGCTCACTCACGTTTAAAATGTCAAGACCTGGTAACAGTCGCCCAACCGTCTGACAGAAGTTTGTTTTTTTTCTTCTTCTGATTGAAATATTTTGATTTAAAGTGAAATGTGGTGTCTTCCCCCGCACAGACAGACAGTAATGGGGTTATGTTAATGAAGAGGGTCCGGGAGTGCCTGAAATGTGATGCTTTGACAGGCTGGCAGAAGATTGTAGTGGAAAAGGAGATGAGCTCGGGTCGGGCTTTCTCTCAGCCTCTTGTTTCCTGACACACAGACAAATCAGGATTAATAGTCTCGCCAAGTAGCTGATTGGCATTTTTAAAAAATCGTGGGCCGATCCCTGTCATCTGATCAAATGTTCAGGAGGTTCACACTGAAGTGTGATATTCTGCTAGATGATGAAACTGGACAGAGGCAAATTCTGTCATTCAGGAGCATTTTGTACTTCAGTCAGACCTCTAACCATTGTGACAGTTTGTGTAGTTATTTTTTGCTCTATAATATACGTTTCCCAGCCACTTTATTAGATACACAAAAAGCTCGAGCGCTTCATCTGCGCCACTGACAACTTTGTTCCAAGGGTAATTGAAAATCTTGGACCCATTTTATCTTCAGTTCTCCCAGCTGTGAGAAATCTGGGAGTTACTTTTGATCAGGCATTCGGTTTTGATAAGCATGCTGTTCCAGAATTTTGCTGCAAGGCTTCTCGCCGGCTCCTCTAAAAGCTCTCATGTGGCACTGATTCTGTCCTCTTTACACTGGCTTCCCTTATCAACGGTGATCACTTGCAGAGAACTTCATAATCAGATGCCTCCAGATGAACTGTAACATCCATACGTAACTAATAGGTCAGTTATGTCAGCTAATCAGTGCTTGTTGGTGATACAAAAGTATGCAGGACAAAAGGAGACCATGGTTTTGAGTTTGTGGCTCCCATCTTGTGGAACTTACTTCCCAAGGACTTGAGGTCTATGGACTCTATAGATGCCTTTAAAAACAGCCACCTGTGAAAGTTTGCTTTTGTTTAGTTCTTTTTTTTTTCATTTTAATTGTTATATCTAATTTTGTATTTCAGAGCACTTTTCTTCAAGTGCCATATGAATAACCTGTATTTACTTGTAACTTTTTAACTGCTCATTAACTCTAATCTAATCAGCCAATCACATGGCATGCATTTAGGCACATAGACATGGTCAAGAGAATCTTTTTAAGTTCAAATCAAGCATCAGCATGGCAAAACAAGGTGATCTAAGTGATTCTGAGCATTTGTCTGAGTATTTAAGAAACGGTTGGCAGTTCTCTGGGTCAAAATGCCTTTTTAATGTTGGAGGAGACCAGGCTGTTTTGAGCTGATAGCAGTAACTAATTTTTACAACTGAGTTATGCAGAAGAGCATCTGTGAAAGCACAAGTAGTCAGACTTAGAAGCACATGGTACACAACAGCAGAAGACCACACTGGGTGCCACTCCTGTCAGCTAAACTGAGGATACAGTGGACCTAGGATCACCAAAATTGGACAACAGAACGGTCTGATGAGTCTCAACATGAAAACATGGATCCATCTATCCTTATATGAGTGGCTCAGCCTTATGATGATAGTATAATGGTGTGGGGGATATAATTCTTAGCACCTGTGTGATATTATCTGATCAGTATGGACCAAAATCTGTTTCGAGCACCTTGTTTCATCTATGTGATGAAGATTTGAGGCATGTTGGCAGTAATTGTTGGTTGTGAGCTCAGGTTTTATAATCCGAACCCAAACTTAATCAAGCATTCGATTTATTATATATTATATAAATTTTTCAGAATGGCAGGAACATAAAAAAAATGAGGAAATATTTGAGAATGAGTTTTGTTGATACTACAATAAATAGAATAAGCCCAAAAACATTTGGGCAGTGACACCATTTTCAAGATTTCAAGCTTTGAACAATTTGTTTTTCCAGGAGTTTAAAAAAAATCATACAAAGTCTCTCGATTTTCATAGGTTCAAAATAACCCGATTGATAATAAAATGTAGAATATGAATAAATTTTATATTTTCTCTTGAGGAACCAATGAATCAATCCACCAATCGCCCACTCTTTAAACTGTGTTCCTGTGTGCTAACCAGGTTTTCACATTTATTTCATGCTTTTCGTGTTTTGTAGAATTCGTGATCTGCTCAAGGGGCTAATAAAAAAAAAAACTTTTGAAGAGAAGTTTAATGTGGAATTTAGTGCCAGCAGGATTTAAATTTATCTTCTGTAAAATAAGATGTCAAGATAGTAGAAGAAACCTGTAAAATAAGCCCCCCACCAAGCCCATCTTTACTGCTGAACTAAGGTGTAATTGAGTTTGAAATCACAGCAAAGAACAAAAGTAGCAGCATTACCCACTGTGAACAGACACACAGTAATATTGATATTATAAGGTTTTTTAGCATTATTCGCAATTAGCCGGAAGTATACAGTGTGTTTTTATTGCTAATCCAAAATTCCACATACCATTTTTTCAGTTCCTTTTTCTGTCTGTTTCGCACATCATGTTAACATAACGTTTCTGTTGGACCAATCACGGCGCAACTAGAGACAGTTACAAGACTCGTGCATCTGGGGAGCATCTTTAGTTTTGTAACGATCATTAACTAAATTCTCAGGCAAAAAGAATAAAATTAGATAATATGAAATTAAGTAATACCTGAGTTTTTATAATTGTTTTTACAGGACTCATACATGCACAAAAACTCATGGAATTCTATCTAATGGTTGTGGAAACATTCCTGCTGTCGTACTAGAAGATTTAACAATGAATATTTCTGTGAAACCTCTTGAAATCATGAATATATAAAAAATGGAATAAGATCAAAAGAAATCCTGGTTGTTTTTGAGCTGCACCTTAATTTGACTTGGAATTATTTTAATCTTCTTTTTCCTCCTCGTGTCTCTGCAGTCCCTGTGTACGGCTCAGAATGTGAATTGCAGAGATCTGGAGGGACGGCACTCTACCCCTCTTCACTTCGCTGCCGGCTACAACAGAGTGTCCGTGGTGGAGTATCTCCTGCACCATGGGGCGGACGTGCACGCCAAGGACAAAGGGTGAGACACTTGTGTTGGGGTGTGACTTTGGTGTAATTTTGAGCCAAGTTTGTTTCCGGCACCCATCAGAGAGTCTTGGAATAAAGTCGTGGAGTAAAATGACTGTCTCCCTCTGCAGCGGTCTGGTTCCCCTTCATAACGCCTGTTCGTACGGTCACTTTGAGGTGGCCGAGCTGCTGGTCAGACACGGAGCCTCGGTCAACGTGGCAGACTTGTGGAAGTTTACGCCGCTCCATGAAGCTGCAGCGAAGGGCAAATACGAGATCTGCAAACTGCTGCTTAAGGTTTGTCTCTTTCTTAACACCATGCTGATGTTCCTATATATTTAAAGCAGACTCAGTTTAAGATAAGACGGCCCAGTGTTTTTGCACCAAGTTTGAATTAGAGGAGGAAATCACCTCCAGAACCACCAAGCGTGGTAAGATCTTCATTGGATCTCATTGGATGTCAGGTTTCTGATATTTATGGCCCATGTGAAAAGAAATCCAACTCTCTGAGCCCAAATGCAACATCAACAGACCCGTTGAGAGAACTAAATGTTCAGGAGTGTTTATCCAGTGAATGGTCGTTGGCACAAGTGCAAAACGGCTTGCCCTCGAGTTGCAATCATCACACGAGTGCCGCAGCTCTCTCCGTCACTTTCTCCCATGGGTATGTCTGAATGAAGCCATGAGCCATTAATTTCTTAATGACCGAATGCCACTTCTGTGACACATACCATGTCTGAGAAGGGCTTAATTGTGCCATTTGCTGTGACCTCACATTGCTCCTTTTCATACTGAAGCCTGTGGGATAGAAATATTTAATTTTTGATGCAGCTTTAATGTTCTGTAAACAAGCACTTTATCCTTCTCCAGACAAGTTCACCAAACAGTGTTTACAAGACGCGGTGAGCCGGGGCTCAGCGAAACTCAGAAATCAGTCATGTCTACGGAAGCAAGAGCTGGCAATGAAATGATAGCACATCTGTTACTAATGCAATTAATGGCATCTGGTGCTGTGAATGCCTTGTGAATAATGGGTGTAAGTCAGCATGTACAAATCAACGTTATGGAGCAGAGGTTTTTCTGGGATTGGCATTTGGAAAACTGGGTGCAAACACTCACTGAAAGGTATGACTTGTGCTCTGTGCGAGTTTTGAACCCGGCCGGGATCAACTCCGACCAATCCAATTACAAAGCTGAAAATATCTGTTGTGTAACACTGAATTGTCACATCTCTTTGAGGCTAAATGAATCCTGTGAAATGTTGCAGTTTCACAGCTGAATGCATTTTTGTTTTTCCTATCACAAACACCTCCAGACGAGGTTACGTCACCGCTTTGCCGTTGCCATATGGGGCAGCATAAATTATTAGATGAACACAGTTGAATTCTCACACACACACACACACACACACACACACACACACACACACACACACACACACACACACGGTAAACGCAGCACACAGAAAAACAAAAGAAATTCATTACTTTATTCATAATTACATATTGACTGTATAAAGTAGTTTGTAACAGATGTACTTAGGAGTATTAAAGGATGATTAAAAATAAATGGAAAAGAAAACAATGAATTATGAGATAAACGTCCTACACAGCTTGTACGAGGTAGTGACACAGTTGTGTGAGCAGACAGCAGCGTAAAACACAAAAGAAGTGTAAGATTGTCGTGGTCAGGCTGTGAAACTGATACACAGCAGTGTTCACTGAAAACTTTGGGACTAAGAGGTGCGACAGTGCAGCAGAGGTATCAGTGATGGTGGAGGGGAGTGGCTGTTGTGTGGAGTATTAGGGAAGGTGACAGCTCTGGGGAGAAATTAGCTTGTCGGTCTGGCTGTGCAGGAGTACAGAGAGGTGCAGACTAAATATGCACTCCCTGGTGCAGTGTGAGAAATGGTGAATGATTTCCTTCCTTGGGGCGGTGGCATTTATCGGTTTGCATTATATTGAATAAACTGACCTCGCTTGCAATAAAAACTTGTTTAAGTAATTAATCTAACAAAAAAGGTCAAATTATCTGGTTCCAGAAGAATGAGCGCTTCTCCATATACAGTGGGGCAAAAAAGTATTTAGTCAGCCACCGATTGTGCAAGTTCCCCCACCTAAAATGATGACAGAGGTCAGTAATTTGCACCAGAGGTACA